CATTTTCACACTGAGAGTCACTGCACCCAGCGCGCCTTGTCGCGGCCCAGCGTCACCACAAGCGACTCGGTCTCAGGCGCAAATTCGATATGGCCAAACGCGCGTTTGTACGTGTTGTGGAGTTTCAGATGCGGGTGGTGGAGGTGGAGGCAGTCGATTAGACTGAGACGGTAGGACAGCACGGACGTTGGTGAGTGCGCAATCACATAGCAGTCACTTCCACGAAAGCTAAACGCTGCGTTGCGCTGAAAGCCGCGGTGCGTATCGAAGAGCTTGTAAATCGAGCCGCCGATAAAGAGCGCCGAGACGTGTTGCGGGTTGAGCGCCGTCAGAATTGAGTACAAGCACCGGTGCTTCCAGTCGTTGTAGACAAACTTGCCAAAGTCGTCGGCATGACGCGTGACGCGTCGCGTTGCATGGGACCGCAAGGGCCGCACGCGGATCGAGCGTGCTTGGCGCCGCAGCATGCCACGGGCGCGCTCGTGCAGCGCCCGCGCGATTGGTTTACCAAATCCGTAGTTGATGGGCAAGAGTCCAATCAGAATCGAGTAGAGCATGGCTGCGAGACAGTCTTCCTTGTAGTCGTCGATATGATCATTTGGAACAATGAATGTAAAGAGAAAATGGTAGACGTCCACAAAAAACCCACTTCGGGACTGCAGAAACGTGACGGGGCCGACGCTAACGAGCACTGCGATCGCGACCGTAGTGGGGTCAACCTGAGCAATCAAACGTTCGAGATGGTAGCGGCGCACGGTACGACCTGTGAGGTTCAAGAGCAGGTAGGCAAACCACACTGTGCGCGAGAGGTAGAGTGCGGCGAGCGAAAACGTCACCAGATTCTGGAGCTGCGAGAGACGCACAAAGCTTTGACCGACAATCTCCATACTGCACCAGAAATCAATCACAAACAGACCACACACCAGCGTGTTTTGAAGAATGAGTGCGGTCGGGTCGCCAATGACAATTTCGATAAACGTAGTGTCCGTCACATTCGGGACGCCGAGCGCGCGCAGGTTCCACAATAGCGTGCGATAGTGGCGAAAGTAGGTTGACCACATGCGCTCCAGAATGACACAGGTGAGCCCAATGCGGTATGCAAATTTGATGTAGAGCCATTGGGTCGAGCCGGGGCTGAGCTGGGCGGCAAAATACAGAAAAGTTGCGTTGGTCGTCGGCAGCACCTCGACCCAGACGCCCGAGACAGACGACGGTTGCCCGAGAAGCGTACCGACTTCAATGACCGCAACGCTCGACAAGTTGGAGGTCCTGGTCATGAACCCTTTGACCGTGCGGCGGGCGCGGCGCGAGTAGAAGGTTGAGCCTGGGAGACCCGCAAACGAAAAGTCGCCTGCGTCGACGAAGGCAATCGGCACCCAGATAATGTCGAGAGCTTGCGCTGGGTCGAAGGCGTACAGTGTCTTGAGGTCCAGGGTGCTGTTGTTGTAGTGGTTGCGGTAGAATTCGAGGGCGTGGGCTTCATACATCTCAAAGGTTTGGTTTGGCCCAACTTGCACACCGACAGTGGGCGTTGGGCGCGGCGACCAGGGAAGCGCTTCCGAGAGGTACGCTTTCAGAGGCCTAGTTCAAGGAGCAGAACCCATGAGGCCAATAAGGACAAGGCAAGCAGCGTACATGGCGGCCAGGTTAAGAAGGAAGCAAAAGCTAAAGGCGACCGAGACCTTGTTGAAGTACACAACGCGATGTCGCCCCGTGACGCCGATCGCAAGTGGGCCGTCCATGATCGCCTTGCGCATCCCGAGGCGCGAAAATAGATATTTTCGAAACGAAACGCCGCACGATTGGCACGGAAAGCAAACCATGCAACGAGTCGTCACAAGGCTTCTTGACAAATTCGTCGCCTGCGTCGTTCGAGTAGAAAGCACGTGCAATGCACAGTGTGGTCCAGTCTGAATTTTTTTTGGCACAACTCACAAGCTCGATGCGGATTCAGCCGGAACCGAGCGCTTCGTCACAGTCGAGTTCAACAAGATTTCGATGCTCTTCTCGTGTAGCATTCTCCTCGACCTTGCCAGTATATGTGAGTGATTTCCTTTCAATTTCTCGGTTTCAAACCCTCTCACTCTAGGCCGCTCACGGTCTACATGCCCGAACCATTTCCCTGGGCAATGCCTCCTGAAACGCAAGCCACCGACTCGATTGTTTCGTACGAGCTCCGCATACACGCGTCGTGTACGCCCAACGATACTCGGCCCGGCAGCTTGAAGGCGGCGTCAATATCCTGTGTGGATCACTACGCAGTGAACTTGAGCGCCTTCCTGGCGCCGTCTTGTACTCGCATCGCGCCCGCGTATGGGTGCGCGATGCGCAAGTTCGCAGTGGATCGGCGTCCGCCGTCGTAAATACCATGATCTTTTTGGGCTCGTGGCGCCATTTCGATTTTCTGAGTCGATGCCCGTGGGGTTCTCAACTTGGCTATCCAGCTCTACGGCGGCTCGACGGCGTGGGGCTACGTGAAACTAGCTGTTCGCATTGCCATGACCTTTCGCATTCTGGTCCTTCTCTGGGCGACCTTCTATGTGCACTACCGATGGTTCGCGATCGGGCTGCGGCGCTATGGTACAAGCGGCGAAAACGAGCGGCTGTAAATCATCGTCGGAAACACGTGGATCTGCGTCTTTTTGTGGTCGATTTCTGGTGCAGTCTCGAGATGGTCACGCGCTTCAGCTGAGCCAGGCCAGCGATTTCACGGTCGTCGTTGTAACGCTGTCGCGAATTGTCTGGTTTGGCTACTTGGCCTTCCATGACATGGACAACTTCCTTCGCTGATTGACTCTGGAGCGGCAATTTGCTCAAGTCGACCCCGCCAATGTCTCGAATGGTATCGCGCTTCTCGTTGAACCTCTTTCATATTGTCAGCTCCGGCGGTCGCTTTTCGTCGACTTGCATTACGTCCGCTCTTGGTGCCGGCAAATCGCGTCGACACGTACACCGAAATCGCCCTCTTCTCGGAAGCCTTCTGCTGGTCTACGGCTTTGCAGTGTCGATAGCACGTCTTGGCATAACGAGTGACGCTGACGTCATACGACTGGACACGAATATAGCATACCGTAAACTCCTCGAAACCGTTTCCTTATCCAAAATACATTAACAAATCAGGTCCAAACATGCAGATTGCACCGGGTACAGGACCTTCTGGGACGCCGCTGCGGCTCGTCCGCTTCAACAAGACCTCGATCCTATTCTCCTGTGCCTTTCTTTTCAACCTCGCCTTGATGTACGTCTTCTCTCATCTCGCTCTTCGTATCTCAACGTTCCTTTGTGTCTAGGCCGCTCAAAGCCTACACGACCGAGCCGCTGCCGTGGACGTACCTCGTAGAGCCCACCGTCAGCGTCGCGGTCGGCCCGCATGAGACCTTTGCCGCCTACGAAGCACGCACGATTGCGTTCTATCGACCACTCTACTCTGCGCTCGAGGTCACCACCGCCTGCAACTACGTCTACGACACCAACCAAGACGTCGACATTCTCTGGTGCCCGCTCGACCTCGCTTCCAACAGCTCGTTTACCTTTGTGGGTATTCCTGGCTCGACCTTTTACTCCAATCGCGCGCGAAATTGGGTGTTTGCAGCCAGCGTCGGCCTGCGCAACACCTCGGACACGGCATTGGTCGAGCTCGGGACGCTCTTTGGGCAGCCGTCGTCGGTCTCGGCCGTCTGGATCGACGACTCCCGCTGCATTTACTTTGCAGCGCAGCTTAGCCGCGGCTCGCGCACGTGGCTCTACTGCAAGTTTGGCTTTCGCGTCGGCATGACCTTGCTGATTCTGTACCGTCTCTGGTCGACGTACTATGTGCACTACCGGTCGCTGGCGAGAGCACTCCGGCGGTTTGGCGCCGGCGGCTTTGGCGAGCGATTGGAAATCATTGTCGGCGATCCGACGTGCCTTATTCTGCAAAACACGTGGATCTGCGTGCTGTTTGTGATTGATTTCTGGTGCAGTCTGGAAGTCGTCGGGCAGTGTTTTGTGCGCATTGGCCAGACACAAAATTTTATGACGTTTGGCCTTGCGACCTTGTACCTCTCACGCACCGTTTGGTTTGCCTACTTGACGCTCAACGTGAGTGGCTACGTGGTGCGGCGCATGGCGTCCGAGCATCGCTGCGCCCAAGCCGATCCGACCAGCGTCGCGGTTGTCGTTGCCATTGCCGTCGGCCCGATGACGTACCTTCAGCTCCGCATTCCGTTCTTTATTGACGTCTACCACTTTTTGTTTACGTGCATTTTACCATCCGAGCGGTACTGGGACTACAAGGAGGACGCGCTGCCAGTGCTCTTCTACTCGATGCTCGTCGGCTTCCTACCGCTCGCCTACGGTTTTGGCATGCCCGTGCTGCGCAGCGCGCTGTACCGGCTCCGACAAGTTGTGTGGGTGCGCACCACAGTTGCGGCCGTCGACCACTCGCTCCGCCGCCTCTCGCTCGTGATTACACGGACGCTGCCCACCGCGTCGATGGCGATTGAGGACGAGGACGAGTTTGGGCAGGTGAGTTTCAACGACTGGAAGCACCGGATACTCTTCGCCTTGGTGTTTGGCTGCTGCCGCCCCAAGGCGCGTGTTCCCAAGATCTACAAGGGCGGGTCCATTTACTTGCTCTTTTCGACCCACCGCCACTACCAGCGCAACGCAGCGTTTAGCTTTCGAGGCAGCGACTGCTATGTGATTTCGCACATGACGACGGGTGTGACGTCGTACCGCTTGAGTTTGATCGATGCACTGCACCTCCCACGTCACGCTGGTATCGCGTGCGGTGTGTGTCCGACCTCGGCGTTTGGACATATTGCCTACGATAAGGACGGCGTGGCCACGCTTGAGTATGGCACCGACGGATCGCACTGGATTCTCTAGTCGATTGTATGCAAACAAGAAGAGAATTTGCCATCTCCATGGCATCACAAACGAGTACCCATTGTCCGACTTGATGATGATCGCAACACGGATATATGACCTGTATACGTGGCACTCTGTGGTGGCCGGCCCTTGAGCTAAGAAGTTATGCCGGCAGCTACTGCTACACTGCAACCCAACAGGAGCAGTACGCAGCACGATTGGACTCCGTGACATTCGCTACCAATGTTGTCATCGGTACATGTATAGCGCGCTTCCTTGTCATGTGCATTGAGGAGGACGCCATCGATGCTACGTTGCCATCCACTGCACCTCACGAACAGCTCTTTTCGACGGCAGTTTTCCAGACCTCATGCCCAGACACTAGCGCAGACGCGGCTCTGATCAGGACCCGACCAGATTGCGGTCCGTAGCGTTATCAATTATCGACGACGCGCGAAAGATTCTCTCGGTACGCATCTGCTGTGACCATGGTAGCGTGTCCTGTGCGCATCCCTCTCGACGTCTGGTACCATCGTTGCCATTTGGAAGCGTCGTGGCCGCGATCGAACCCGCCAGTTGAACTTGGTGCCATAAGCTTTGCCGCGCTGATTTGCGAGTGCGTGGCCTTACGTCAACGGGATTTTAGCCAATCAGCGGCGTTTGTGCCGTGGTCCCACTCTATTATTTTTCAAGTTTCGACACTTTGCACTTGCATTTTGTATGTACAATAAAAAAGCGTCATGAATACGACCGGCCTGACGATGTTGCGGCGCTCGGGCCAATCGGCGGCAGCGGCCACTTGCGCTTTTGCCAACGAAACACAACGATGGCCGGTCGTCTCCGCATGATGTTCCTCGGGCCGCCCGGCGTCGGCAAGGGCACGTACGCCACGCGCATCGCGCCCAAGCTCAGCATCCCGACCATCTCGACCGGTAGAGTCTCCATCTACGAACACAAGGTCTAACTACGATGTGCATGAATTATAGGCGATCTTGTCCGCGCCGAGATCAAGCGCGACTCGGCGCTTGGCAAGCAGATCAAGGACTACAGCAGCCAGGGCAAGCTCGTGCCCGACGAAATCATCTTGACGATGGTGCGTCAGCGTCTTCAGGAGAAGGACGCGCAGAAGGGCTACATCCTCGTAATACCTCCGCATGCCATCGACGTGCTCTCATGGCATATACTGTCCTTAGGATGGGTTTCCTCGCAACGTGAGCCAAGCGATTGAATTCGATAAGATCGCAACGCTCGACTCGGTTGTCAACTTTGAGCTGCCCGAGTGGGTCCTCATTGAGAAGCTCAGCGGCCGCCGGTGCGTCATTCGGGATGCATTGCACCGACAGCTCATACCTTGTCTCTAGCGTCTGCGACTCGTGCGGGACGGGCTACAACGTGGCCGACATCAACAGCGGTGAGTACGTCATGCCGCCGTTGCTGCCCAAGGTACCAGCAGTCCCGAGATATCGCACCACTGATAGCGTGCTATAGGCTGAGTGCACGTGCGACAAGTGCGGGAGCAACAAGATTGTCCAGCGCGCCGACGACACGCTCGATGTTGTCAAGCACCGGCTGCAGGTCTACACAGACGAGACCGAGCCGCTCATCCAGTACTACACCGACAAGGGTAACGTCCGGCGCGATAAGATCGTAGAATCTTATGTCACTACCCATAGGCATCCTCAAGAGCTTCCACGTCAAGAAGGGTCTTGCGGATCTGCCTCGCATCAACGCGATGCTCGGAATTCCGGAAGATAGCAAGTTGTGAATGTTGTCCACGGATCTCTATTCAACCGTAGACGTCGATCACTAGTTCTACGACCAAATATTACATGATTTTGGCGTGTCATTCTTCTATAAAAAGTGCAAAAGTTAGTGGTGAGACCACGCAAAGCAACTTTGAATGTTGAGACGTGCTCATCAACTCAACAACCCATTGAGAAGTGAGGTCGGAATGAGGATCGACCCCAAGGCCTCACAGCGTGACGTTCTGGACAATTTAATTGTCCACAAGAATGCGCGTATGGTCAACATCCAGCACGATTCCAGAACCAGATGCAAATAATACCGCCTTCTCCCCTCAGCATCTCAGCATGGTCCTCAGTTTCAAAATGCCTCTGGTCGTACCAAGACGGTTGCAGCGCGGGTCCGTGGTCCGGGTCGTCGCGCCATCTCAACACGCCGCCATCCTCAGCCAAGCGACAATCACGAGTGCGAACGCGGCGTTGGCGGCACTCGGGGTCACGCTCACGTTTGGCGACCACATTTTCGCCTCAGACCCGTGTCAGCGCCACTCGTCCTCGATCGCTGACCGCGTCGCCGACCTGCATGCTGCGTTCCTTGACGAAACTGTCGACGGCATTCTCACGGTCATTGGTGGCTACAACGCCAACCAGCTCCTAAGTGCGCTCGATTACGACCTCATTCGGTCCCATCCCAAGGTGTTTTGCGGCTACTCGGACATTACGGCGCTCATCAATGCGTTCTTGGCGAAAGCCCACCTCGTCACGTTCAGCGGACCGCACTATTCGACCTTTGGCATGTCGCACGGCCTCGAGTTTACCATTCAAGAGTTTGTGCGCGTTTTAATGTCGACCGCACCGGGAATTGAAGTCGCGACGGCGCCGAGCCCAATGTGGCGCAACGACCTCTGGTTTCTCGACCCGACACCCAAATTTGAGTTTGAAAACACCGCCGGCTTTGAGGTTGTCCGCAGCGGCGTCGGGCGCGGCACGATTCTGGGCGGCAACCTCAATGTGCTCGGCTTGCTTCGAGGCACACCGTACTTTCCGTTGCAGTTTCCCGACGTCGTCCTCTTCCTTGAATGCACGGGCGAGAACGACGTCGCGACCTTTGACCAGCTCGTGCAAGCCCTTTTGCACATGCCTGGCTTTGCCGCAACGCTTCGAGGCATCGTGGTCGGTCGCTTCGAGCTCAACTCCAAGATGGGTGCAAAGGAAGTCGAGGCGATCTTTCGCATCAAAAACGAGCTGCCATCGACGCTGCCCATTGTCTACGGCGTCGACTTTGGCCATACGACGCCCCACACGCTGATCCCGATCGGAGGGTCCTGCACGCTGGACACGCGAGGCGACGCGCCGTACCTGGGCATTGCGTGGTAGATGGCTTGTCTAAATAGATGAACATGTGCTGGCGTGAATTTGTCGTGTTGCTGGATTCTTTCCATGAACGCAGACACTCTAGTACTCTAGTATTCCAATCATATATTCGTATATTCGTGGCGAGTTATGTGGATACCTCGCTACTGACATGATGTGTAAATGGACGCGTCGTACGGATCGACGAAGGTCTCGTCACGCGCTAACACGTAGTCTGTGGCGAGCGTCACCGTGACGCGGAGCGGCTGCAACGACGCCATGCAGTAGCGCACGTGCTCGTAGGTGCACAACAAGCGCTGTCGATTGGCCAAGCTCACGTCATTGTCCGTCATACACAGCACGTAGTTGCTCATGTCACAGTCGGTCCGCAGCGGAGCGTTGAGGCGGCTGTGGTAGGCGTGTACAATAGTGTCGACGGCGTCACCGACCGTGTCGTCGGCAAGCAGCAAGAGCGATACATCCACATGGTCGACGTCGGGTAGTTGAAAGCGGTCCCGCAAGGCGGGGTCGACGCAGCGCGATGGCACCACACTGCACAGCGCCTGCGCCCACGCCCCCCAATCGGTCGCCAACTCGGGGCGGAGCTGAAGCGTCCCATTGTGTGCTGTGATGACGTCGATCGCGGACGCGCGGGTGTCGAGGCGTGCGTGGGACGCCCCACCGAGTCGCACGGCGTTGATACTGGAGACGGGAATATCGACGCGGTCGAGCGGTCGACCGTTGCGGTCGCACTCTTCGTACGAGAGAACGTTTTGTGTGAGGACAAAGTACCGCTTTAATTGGTAGCTCACGGGCTGGAAACGCACCAAGAGGAAGCGTCGCATGCGCGTTGTCAAAAAGAGCGACGTCGGGGCCGTGCTTCGGTCGCGAGGCACTGCATTGGTACGCTGCAAATGGCAAACTGAGCGAAGAAGGGTCAAGGAGACTCGTTGCGCTGCATGCTGCAACGGCGTGTGGGAATGTTGGTGTGCTCGCAAGCCACACGAGAGGTGCGTAATGCCGGACACACAACTCTGCGTGTTTACTCCTGCACCATTCAAAAGACGACGCAACATGTATAGGCACTGGTAAATGTGAACAAATCAAGAGTCGATGTCGCCTGCACGTCAGTAACCCTACACAACCAACGGCTCAACAGAGTAAAGTTCAGTAGTAAGCATTGCGATAAGAACTCGTACGTGTCAACAGCAGAGAAATCAAGCGTCCACTCTATTTTTGTGCCATTTTGTTGCGGCGCCTCTTGCAGCGACCACAAGCACAAGGTATCCGATGCAGCAGACGACATTGCTGTCGCTTGCGCCAGTACCTTGACCCACCGTACTTCTGCACATTACTATGTGTTATTGTGTACACATTCCGCATGACGTTTGTAGTGACTGGAACTACCGGGTGGTCGTGATTACATATCAAACGAGCTATCCACTCTGCTCAAAACTCGGTGTAAACAGCGGGCGCCTCCATCTAGATATTCTCAGTACATGTATACCCGCTGCGCGTCCATGCAGTGCCTGGATGAACCCTAAACTTGCAAGTAACAAGCGTTTGACCTTGAAGGTGGCGGCCGAGATCTATGGTGGAGTTGAAACTTGCGCATCAAAATGCGACCAATCCCCATCCAGTGCTCTGACAGCCGAACCAATCACGTGCCGCTCAATCTTTGTCGCGGCCAATCAGCGCAGTGAAGCGGCTAAAAATAGCACCAAACGCAGCCGGTGGCCATTGTTTTCGATTTCGATCGCTACGTGACTGAGGAGCAACCATTCCGCATTTACAAACCACGAGATCGATATGAAGACGACGGGTCCCGTCGTTGTGCTGGACGCTGCCAACATTGCGACCCTCGTGCGCGGCACCGTGCGCACCGACCGCCTCCAGAGTGCCTTGGATCATTTTGACGCGCTCGGCGTGCGCGTCATTGCCTTTGCGCCCGGCTATTGGCTCCGGTCCAAGACGTCGACGCCGCGGACGCGGCAGTGCTCTGCTGAGATGGAAAGCGACCAGCGGGCCGAGATGGCGCTCGTGCAAGCTCTTGTAGAGGCCGAGAAGATCGTCCTGACACCGCCTCAGGCACACGATGACTTCTTCATGATCGACTACGCCATGAAGCACAACGGCTACGTCGTCACGAACGACATGTTTCGCGATCACGTGGCCAAAAAGGTACATTTTTGCCACCAATTTTCAACTCAAATTGTGGGTTTTCACATGTGGTAGATGCAATTTCACGGCCGCGAGCTCACCGAGGCGTGGATCCGAGCCAACTGCATCACGTTTACGTTTGTCGGTACAGAGTTTTTGCCCAGCGCCGAGCACATGCAGCGTCTGGGGGCGGTCACGCCACGGGTCCAGCAGTTGCCTAACTCCACCTCTGGCAACAACACCAGCAAAAACAACACTATTCCCAAGCCCAGCAAAAACAACACTATTCCCAAGCCCATGGTCGCCAAGGAGCCACGAATTTCCAACAACCGCGCCCACAAGGTCACGCTTCGTGTCGACACGGCGCCGTCGATCAAGGTGGCTGCGGCCCCCGAGGAAGACAGTGACACGGCCACCGAGACGTTGCGCCGCCCCAAGCCCTGTCCTGCGTCGGCGTCGACCCGCAAGCGAGGCAAGGAGCCAACGCCACGCAGCCACGCGTCACCGTATGCTGCGGCGACCAATGCGTACAAGGTACTCGAGGACGACACGTCGTCGTCGTCCGCAAGCGACGACGATAAGGCACGAGCGGCGACTTCAATTTCCGCAGACGCAGAGACCTTGGGGTCGAACACGCTTGTGCACGACTGGATGATGCTGCAGCGAATGATTGCGCAGCATCAAGATGTGTCGCCACCGCCATCCAGTGCGAGCGCACTACCAGAGACGGCGACGCCACCGGCGGCACGTGCAAGGCCCCGGGCAGCTACCAAAACTGGGGTCGTCTACCGCGGTATGATATCACTTTGATGGAATTGATATGAATTAGCGAGCTAAGGCTGTACATTAGTGCGTGACCCGCAAACCACGAACGACGATGGAGTTAGCCCACGGCCAACGCGACGCCGTCGGCCTCGGGGTCCCCCCGGCCGCGCACTCGTGCCGGCGACAAGTGTGTAGATCATGCATCGACGCCATGGCGACTAGATAACAGACTAGGACCTATAATTTATTTTGACGATGTTGTACATAGAACTAGGGATTTTAACCTCACCCTTGAGAGATTCGTGAGGGTTCTCGGACCTTCCATTGGTGGAATGACGTGGCCTTCATGCTGTAATCTACTCCTATTAATAGTAGATGTATTAGCTGTTCTTGCTAGCATTGACTCGACTAGTTCAAGAGATAACCATACTGATAGTTATGCTGCGTGGAATAGCCCCTCGCGTCAGGATAAGTACGTCCACACACGGCATTGCAAGAGAGAGATATCAAAACGACGAATGTACCATCTCCGAACAAGCAGCCAATCGCAAAGCAACAGGTACAACACTGCTCGCATTGTACTGCACTACAGACAATCAAAACTTTAGAAATCGTCTTAGCAGCCACGGCCGCCGGCAATGCGGAGGCACGACGTAGCTTTATAGAACGGAAGGATGTTGGTGACGATCGAGTAAATGAGCAAAAGCACAAAGCTCACGACCATGATGGTACCCGCGACTCTGCTCGACTCGCCGCGGCGCTTGAGGAGGTGCACGTGCGCCTTCTGGCGCGGGAAGAGGCCCAGAAACGCCAGTGAAAAGAGCTTGGCGCTGAACGAAATGAGATAGCAGTACGAGACCTCCCAGCGCACAAACGTGTCGTCGACTTGGATGTCATTGATCGACACATGGAAGAACGAGTCGACCGTCTTGTAGAGGACTGTGCCGAACGGGACGCCGAGGTTGCCGCAGGTACCGGCGAGCGCATACACGGCGCCTTCGTTGCCCATGTCGGCGATCTCGACCAGCGGGTAGGCGCCCGAGAGAAAGACGATCGCGCGGGGAATCTGGAGCAGGGACTTGCCAATGACAAAGTAGTAGGGATTCCGCACCACGGCCCAGACCGACGTGAGCTTGAAGATCGCGTCGATCGAGACGAGCGTGATTGTGCTGTAGATGATCGTCCGGCGCCAGTCCCACTCGAGCGTCCACTTGCCGCGGAAGAACATGACCCCCGAGTAGAGGCAGCCGCCAAGAATGCCGACGGGCCCCCACAAAACTTCAAAGACCGGGTCGAGCTGCAGCCAGAGCGTCTGGATCGGCGTCGTGACCGTCTCTTCGAAAAAGAGGAAAATTTGACTCAAAAGCAGGTACATGCACAGTTGCCACACGACGCGGAGCTGGATGAGCTGCCAAAGCGACTGAAAGTAGCTCGCGAGTGTGAACGGCCGCACCTTTTGCTCGACCATCCAAAACGCCGAGGTCGTCAAGCAAATGCCACACGGCACGAGGAGCGCGCCGTAGACAACATTCGGCGTGATGCTCCAGTCGTAATGCCCCGCGTACTGGAAGCTGTTCATACACAGGCCAACCGCGATCTGCGGCAAAATCTTGGTCGAGTCGCGGACCACGTAAATCATGGTCTGGAACCGACCACGCGTCGCGGCGGGCTCGCGCTGGGCGTACTCGACCGTGAGCCCATCGGCGGCGCAGACGACCATGACCGAGCCAAACGTGGCAATCGCAGAGAGCATGACAAAGATACCGGCGCTGTTGGGCGCCGAGAGGTTCATGAATTGGCGCTGGTCTTCGACGGAAATGTTGGCGATCGGCTTGTTGACGAGCGACGCCTTGCCGTAGTATGGGTCAGGAAATGGAAGAAAGACCATGATGAGGCACGAAATCGACGCAATGAGCCACCCGAGCATGATATACGGGCGCCGGCGGTACCCGCGTACGGGAATACAGTCGGAGAGAAGCCCAAGAAAGATCTTGACGCACCAACTGAGGCGCATGAGCGCTTGGTACGACTGCACTTGGTAGCCTTGCATGCGGAGGTAGTTTTGGAAAACAGGGTACGCCATGGCCGGGAAGACACCGAGGAAGATGCCGACACCAGCGTACTGGCTTAGAACGGCCCACGCTTCGGTCGACGTGAGCGGGACGGCGCCACCTTCGCGGAGCGCGCCGTCGTGGCGCTCAGTGAACGTTTCTTGCGGGTCGTCGTAGGTGCAGAGTTTGCCGAGGTCGAGCACGGCCGTGTCGGTGTCTGGTGACGCGTGATACTCGAACTCCTTTGGGTCGAGCAACCACACACCTTGTTGCTTTGGTGGTGTCCCCGGCATGCTGCAAGAAGGAAAATGTGACCTCGTGGCAGTCGCACCGAAGGTACAGTGTACCGTGCCGCCGTCACAACACATGTTGAGGTCAAGTGGGGCCTGTGTAGCGGCGAGATTGCTTCAATAATGTACGAAAGCCCTGTCATGCCAACACGATATATGCCTGAAATCGCACAAGATGGGCACCAGCAGCTACGCAGCCTTGCTGTCGCGTGGCTAGCGTAATGTATTGAGCTTCCTGGCGTCGATGGTGAATCCGAGGTAGGTAACGCATGGTTTTCGTGCGCGATGCGTGACGTGTGCGGTACCCAGCGACGCGACGCCCGATACCGTTTACATCTGGTACTTGACCTTCGCCTTCGTTGGCGACCAGATATTTGATGCCAGCTAGCCTTCGAAATAGGCCAGCTAGCCTTCGAAAATTG